GGTAATCTGAAAGTTAATTGATTAAAATCTTTCCGACGTATATGCTACACAACTGACTTCTTAAGAAAACCACATGATGTACCTTATGTAGACCATAATCTTCATCAGGTAAACGCAACGTTTGCACGGTTGGCCTTAAAAGTGTTATAGGTGATATAATTTTCGGTATTTCTGTCACATCATATTCCTGAAGAGCTCGAATGTGGTTGCACATTGTTACACACAAAGCTCTTGTACAATTGAGTGACAATTGTGTATATGTTGAAGGAAGATGGCTTATAAACGTATTCAATTTATCATCCCAGTTGGTACATTTCTTTAATTCTAATGGAAGCTGCAGAATAATTAGATTATTTGACCTTCGTAAAAAATTTTGTAATATAACGTCGGTAAGAGTGATAAATACCTTTCCACTGACAGCAGGATCTAATATATCCATAATATTCAAGAGAATATTAATATGAAGTTCCTCAATCGTAGTGAAAGGTACATGATGATTGATCAATGCTTTCATCTGCTCAGGTGCGCCATCGATGAGCACTAATCGGCCACGGAAGTTCATATCTTCCAACTTACTTAATAATTCAATCGCTATTAGTGATCCGTATGAATATGCGACTATTAGAAAATTCACGTCCGACTTGATTTTGCCCAAAATATACTGAAAGCATAGAAAAGACGATGAAATGAAAAACTAAGTTTAAATAAATATTTTGCTGCTTTATACTGTATTCCAATATAATTTAGTGAGAGAAACAGAAGATCCATGGTCTTAGGAGGTTTATAACTCCAAGCTTTATCACATATAACTGTAACAAAATGAAGATATCATACTTTTAAAAGATAATGTGCGATTTCGGGTATTGTGTAACATTTATTGTCGATACTATAAGTTCCATATTGTAAGCACGTGATCTGGTGGTCTATTTTTGTTGCCAACAAGTTGAAAATATTTCCGCAACCTTCGATTCCCGGTAAGAAGAATATCTCGTTTTTCGTTGTAATGCCTTTGGTTGGAATATTCATACACACATCGGGTATTAAGTTATCAATGCCAATTACACGGGCGAATAACTTTAGTCCAGCCAATTCGTTTAAATCCGAAGCATCGCAGGAACTCAACTTCGTATTCTGTGCTTCCTGATTAGACATTTCGGCGAGTTTGACAAAATTCAGGTTGTTAATATCAGCAGCAGTCAGAAAGATCTTATATTCCTGTTCTAAAATTAGCTTAATTTCTGCCGCCATCATTGAGTCCATTCCAATTTCAGACAAGCGTGCATGAGTAGGCACAGAATTTAAATCTACCAGACCTATAATATGCAAATCAAAGATATTTAATCAATTTGCTGCGTTACTTTTAATCGAATAAATTTAATGTTGCATTTCAACAGATTATACACTATAAATGTACAACGCTCTGTCAGTTGCACCCCGGTGGCGACTACAGACAGTTGAAATGAAAAAAGCTCGCACAAAAGCAACTGAGTATTATATGTGCCGTAAACAGAATAGTTAACTAAAACTTTTTATCGGATTTTATTAATAATACACGCTTACCCATAATATTAGCTACAGCATCAATAATACTAATATTAGTAACAATGTTGTGACGTTTCTCGGCAACAACCATACT